AGGGAACCATGCAGAGCATATTTTATAAAAGAATGTTTATGCGAAAATTCCGCATTAAATCGAAAGAGAGTGCTGTTGCTTACTAATGTTATTTGCTTGCTATGTTAGTGTTGCTTACTAATGTTATTTGCTTGCTATGCTAGTGTTGTTTACTAATGTTACTTGCTTGCTATGTTAGTGTTGCTTACTAATATTATTTGCTTGCTATGTTAGTGTTGCTTACTAATGCTATTTGCTTGCTATGTTAGTGTTGCTTACTAATGTTATTTGCTTGCCATGTTAGTGTTGCTTACTAATGTTATTTGCTTGTTATGTTAGTGTTGCTTACTAATGTTATTTGCTTGCTATGTTAGTATTGCTTACTAATGTTATTTGCTTGCTATGTTAGTGTTGCTTACTAATGTTATTTGTTTGCTATGTTAGTGTTGCTTACTAATGTTATTTGCTTCCTATGTTAGTTTTGCCTACTAATGTTATTTGCTTGCTATGTTAGTGTTGCTTACTAATGCTATTTGCTTGCTATGTTAGTGTTACTTTCTTACGAGAATCTATTGTGGGCTGTAATTGATTGCGAACTGTTTGATTGTTAGCTATTATAAACTGTTCATAAATCATTGTTTTCTTATGTCTAATTTTAAGTTTACAATAGCTGCTCGAAAGAGCGATGACCCATAGGGATACAAGATTCACAGCGGCACATAAATTGTCATACATTGTTAAGCAACAACGCTTCCTATTGGCTTAGTACGGCATTTCCACACGCACATTTTCCTGTGTGAAATATACTTATTTTGGTAAGCTCTACCTGATTTTACATTTTTGGATATATTATTGAAGCACCTTGGATAGCTCAAAGTATTTTCATCTATAAAGTTTGATTTCAATTTATTAAAATATTGATACAATCATCAACATCACCAGTCTTTTTCCAACGGCTACCACTATAAAACTTACTAATTGTTATTAAGATATCTTATACTTCCAATCAAGATTCTTTCGCTGTTAGTTGGAAAACCAAAAAATCTATTTTAATTCCTTACTTTTTTTCTGATTCTGTTATGCTTGTTCGACTTGTAAATTTTGTATTGCTATAGCAAAATAATGCTATTTTACTAATTACAAGTCTTATAAAGAAGTTCTATTCTAATATTCTCAAGGTATTTTTCCATTTGCAGAATATTTTAAACTCAAAACATGGATTACATGCAAACAAGTAGTATAAAAGCCGATACTTCCGCAAATAAAATTCTCACAAAACCATGGAATCCTGCTGTTATAACCTTGATTCCATGAAAATAAAAGTAAATGCATCTACCCATTGAGTTATATGCAAAAAAGTTTCAAATTGTCAAGGCTACGATTTTTAACTTAAATTTCCTGTTTACGATTTCTGGCTACATAATTTATAAAGCAGAAAAATAAATTTCTTGAAGTGTGAAAAATTATATCCGACAATTTATTGAATAAAATTGTCAGCTAAATATCTAGAAATATTTTTCTTAAAAAAATAAAGATAAATAAATTAATAAATAAAAAAACACTACCCCTCATTAATTTCAGTATATCCACTGGTGAACCAGGTTCGCATCCCTGGTCGATACGAATTCCGCACCCGACCACAGTGCTGACGTAAAATATCCTTAGTGGCAGACGGGTCATGGGTTAAAGTCCCCTTGCCAATAGGTTAACCGTGGTAGGTTTTCGTGGTTTCTCTCTCCTTTTAACGCAGATGCGGGATAGTTCCATCAAAAATGTCCTCCACAAAGGCGAGTTTCATCCAATATTTGATCAAGGAGTTCCATCGTCTTCTGGATTGGGTTCAAAATTGCAAAGCTACGGAGCTGAACATTAGTAGTTATAACATTAGAACATGAACATTAGAACTTTGCGACTCGATAGATTTAACGTGCATCAGTCACCATTTACGGTCTCCGATTTAGTAAAATTGGTCGCAATTTATATACAGTTATAATTTAGCAAATAGTAAATAACTGTTATGTTACTTTCTATTTCAACACATTCCGTCAACTAAAAATTGGTTTTGGCTCCAAGAAATTATTCCTTTTTGTAGAAGACTGATCATGTACATTAAGCATGATATGATTCAATGATGAAAACTTTGCCCTAACATTTTAACTTTCAGTCAGTGAGTTTAAAAAATACGTTTTCCTTTTTAAAGATCAATATTTGATAGAGAATAGAACAGATATTGCAAGTGAATTTTGCATTGAAGAGTCGCATTTACATTATTTTGATTATTTTCTAAGTCTTCTAATCAGTTTTAATCATTCCTCTAATCAGTTTTAGTGTTTAGTTTTTTTTTCCGATTCATTCATTACAGAAAATTTAATAATAAAGTACAGAATAATTTCGAAATCAGTTATCCATCCAACACCCAATAATAAATTTACAATTCCAATAAAGTTAAACGAAAACTCTTTTTTTTAACACATACAGTATTTAAGTTAAGAGCAGAGGATTAAGTTTTGGTAACAGATGCTGAGGATTACAATTTAGTTCAATGACCAGTACCACTTTTAAAAATATAATTTATTTTCTACATATATTTTCATTATCCTACATTTTTCGAGCTACCCTTAAATTTGCTTTTAAATTATAGCAAAATAAAATAAGTTTATAAAATATTCTTTCGTAAGATGATTAAAATTAAGTAAAAAAAACTAAGCTCTACTTGACCATATAAACTATCTTTTTAAAATTTTCAACAAATTACAAGTCAGGTATTAAAAGGAAAAAAAAAAAAAAAAAAAAAAAAGACACGACAGGTACCATTCAGACGTTGAGGCGCCATCACGTTCAAAACGTCTTCACGGGAGAGCGACTACTAACATTCTATCAAAGCGTTTTATTTTTTTTTTTTCTTCGTTTATTGCAGGGCCTCCATTTGGGGGGTTTTAATACATCTGTATTCATCAGAATTCAAATAGAGGTTATAGGAAGCCGCATAGTAATCAGTTAAAAACTAGTCAGTGAATGAGGGGCCTACGATTTTATAACCGGTTCTCGTTGATTCTATAATAAATACTTAGATGTATATATTTTTTTCTTTTTATTTTCGAATAGTTGATTTTTCCCTTCGTAATAAAATTTTTTGCTCTATCCACGGAAATACACTCCCAAAGAAGTATTTTCAAGGTTATTTTAAATAATTATAAGAAATGCAAGCTGCAAAGATTGCTAAGAGTAAATATTGTTCACTGCCTGAGGCAGCGGTTCCCATTTTTCTCAGTTACGGAACCTTAAATGATTGAACATCGTTTGGCGGAACACTAACTATTAAAAGAAGTAAATTAGTAGGTGTGAATACGCTAACCAAAATATAAAAAAAAAATTCAAATTGATGTAGGAACATTTCATGTGAAGAATAAAATTTTTTCATGGTTTTATTAATATCCGTCTTTAAATTAGGTTTGGAGTTAGGCAATTGAATTCGAAAGTCAGCATCAACTTTTAGTTGATTAGTCCGCGTATGCGCAAACCAAATTGAATAAAATAACTGAATTATGATTTTTGTAAAAGAACTCTTATAAAATGTGAAAGTTATTGGAGAAAAATAATTAGTAATTCTGGAATTTGGTTATTTTATTTTGAACTTTAAAGTTCGATGTGAAATGCTGATGCAATCATTTGCAAATGTAAATCCTTTTAGTAATTTATTCAGTATATTGTTATTGTACAAAAATATAAATATATACTTTAAAATTTTCTATTTATTTTTATTGGGAATTTATTTAAACGATTGCATTAACCAAATCAATAAACAAATAATCAATCTTTGATTGAATACAAGCCAATTACAGTTTCAAAAATCATTTCTCTAAAATAAAGGTCCTAACTCACGGAACTCAAGTGATTTTTTCACGGAACACCTTTTGAGAATCGCTGTCCTAAAGCAAGATTTTTTTAATAAAGTTCTAAAAATGAATAGATTGTATGATAAAAATCAAAGACACATGTGTTAGGTGATCATTGTGAGAGATTTTTAGAAATTTATATTATTTTTAAAAAATGTTATTATTATTTTTCTTAAACTCATCTTTCATATTTTCTTCCTTTCTTTTGCTTAAAAACACATTATCTTTCAAAACAGTTGTGTTTCTGAAATCGAAAATAAAACTTTTAAAAGTCAGTTTTGAGTTTTCATTAGACATAAGCATAATAATGAACAGGGCTCGAAAAAACTCAGAAATTTTACCCGTCCCTGAGGACGGCTTGTCCAACAATGCACCCGTCCTCCGTTCAAACTAACCCGTCGCTTTTAAATAAATAAAAATATAATTTTCTCCTATTTATTACAAACATTTATATAAATTGCACAATGAATTAGTCGTTACTAGGATTACATTATACAGTAATAAAAGAAATACTAGGTTACTAATAGTAACCTAGTATTTCTTTTATGAAATAATTTAAATGACAAGGGTCAAGTTATCTGGAATGTCAAGTTATCCGAGGGTACTGCGTTTTTTAAATGAATCAAATATGACGTTATCAGTTCCACAATCAAGCCAATAATTTACAGAGGTTTCTGAACAGAAATCTGAAAGGGGTTTTCCATTTAGGTAGATGTTCAAAATTGCTTTTAAAGCTTTTTGTTTAAAACCAGTACGTATTGTGTTTTTTTTGTAAGTTTATTGCTGCAAAGCCCCTTTCAACCGCTGCAGTACTCCCAGACAGAGAAAATATCAATATATGCGCAGTATGTTGCTGTATTGTGGGTCATTTTGCTGCCTTGTAACTTACAAGACTCTTGTAAGATAACAAAAATTGAAAATGTAGCACGAACATTAACGGGAAAATGGCCGCCGGCGCGGACGTCGGATTCGAGAAATTCGTTGTCCGCGGGGAATTTTTGACCGTCGAGGACGGGCGGACTGGCTGTTTTTCGAGCCCTGATAATGAATCAACATGGCAACATCATATAATATATTACATCAACATGATTACCATACAAATGAATATTTTGTTTTGATTTTAAGCATATAATCAAGTCTTATGGAAGTTAAAAAGAGTAAGAACTCCAATTGCCTAAAGAGGAGAAACAGTTGCTTCCATTAGAATGTAAGTTAATATATTTGAATATATATTATTATATTTGAATTATTTTTATTCAAGAATGCTTCACTCTTTTTTATATTTCTTTTATACGTATGCATGCCGGAAAGGTTCTGGGTTCAAATCCCGGACAAGGCATGGTTGTTCTTTCATTCTCTGTACTATCTGTCCCCTTACTGTGGGAGCAACGTTGGCCCTCCTAATATGGTGCCCCTGAAAGAGTGGCCAACAAATCTGCCCTATAAGTGCCTGAATATATTTATATTTTATTTTCTATATTTTGCTTGATATATTTGTTTGTTTTTTCGTATATATTTTTTACTTAATGTGTTCTAATTTCGTTTCAATTTTTTTGAGTGCTTCTCACACTATTGTATTGATATATTTTGCTTTGCATATATTAATACAATATTAGAAAGCACTCCTTTTTGCGGATATAATCGTGTGGGCTGATGAAGAGATTATATCTTTTCTTTGTTTTGTTTTCCGGAATTTTAATTTTTTTTTTCATTAGATATCAAATATTATATTTTTGTGAATACTTTTGAAAAATTATCTTTAATAATTTTCTTCTCTTGTCATTATTTTTTACTATTTTCCATTTTTTCTCAATAATTTGCTTATTTTATGAGTTCCATATACTTGCAGCTTGTGCGCAGTTAATAAAACTTATTAATTTTCTTCGTTTTTCTCTTTGTTTTTATTGTGCTATATATATATACACTAGTTACTTTCTGCAACAAAGGTATTATTTTTAGGATTTTTCTTGTTTCGAAATTTCATCATAAAAAAGAAAGAGAGAATGAAAAAAAAATAACTTCTGTTATTTATCTGATGAAACAGTTAGACATTTTATAAATTTCACTCCTATTAACTACCATTTCAATTAACCAACAATTCCTAGCAACTATGCCCTTAGGCTTATATACGTGCTTGGAATAAGGTTATATACTCTAATTTTCAATCTAATTTTACACAAAGAGAAAATAAGAAATTATAACAAAGCATCTTCAAATTTTGAACAATTTTGAATTTGTAACAGCGTTATTTTGCATTATTGAAATATTTATTCAATTAAAACTTTACGCTATATAGTTTTTCAAACATTCTTTTGCATTAGAAACTATTTAATATTAAAACATGAAATGAAAAAGAATTATTTTAAAATATGTTTTTGGAATAAGAAAGGTATACAAATTTTACGTTAAAATCTTTTCGTTGAAGTTTCTGTTTATCGACTTATCTTACCTAACAGTTTAATGAAATACCTATTCAATAAAGAAAAATAACACATTTCCTAGCAACTATACCCTTAAGCCTACATACGTGCTTAGAATAAGGTTATATACTCTAATTTTCAATCTTATTTTACTCAAAGACAAAATAAAGAATCTTTACAAAGAATTAACGTTTAGGTACTGTCTGCAAAAAAAAAAAAAAATAAGAGGAAAAAATAATGTTCAACTTCAAGGAATTTTAACGTAATGATCGCATTTAAACGTACTATCGTGTAATCTTAATGATATAAGGAGCACACTTTAAATATGCTAATTAATTCGTGCAGACGATATTTTAAATTACGAAGCCAGACACAAAAACGTACTTCTTCCGAATAAAGACTTTTTTGAAGATAGATTTAAATTGTAAGATGCGAGCGCAAAGCAAATCAAAACATTTGTGCACATAATTATATGTGTACAAAGAATACTAAAATTTACTAGAAATAATAATAATTTATAAATATTTATAATTATTTATTATTCTTTGCTACTTAATTTAATATTATTGGGAAAGTTTGCAGTATATATCACACAAATTTTTACAATATTTTAAACCACGTAATTCCAACGAAATCGGTTAAAAAAATCAGTTTATTACACTGCAAAAAATTCCTGTAAAAAGTACCGGCATTAATAGTGCCCGTACTTTTTACCGTACATTCCATTTCAAAGGGAACAAAAGAATCTGACATACCTTACCTTTTACTGTAATAAATACCGTAAAATCTTTGAATCACTCTAATTAAATGAATATCACTGTTTAATTTACGGTATAATATTTTACGGTAAAAAAGGATTTTACGGATAATGCACCCAAAGTACCGTTATTTTATACCGAAATTTGATTCAAAAATTAGGAGTTTTAAATGAGGAGGAGTTTTTAAATGGAAAATTCTTAGTCATGGCAATGAATTTTTGAAATTGTTTTAACTAGTGTATAATCTTTGATTTAAACAAGCATATATTTTAAAAAGAACCTTTTAGTGGAGTTTTAAAAATAAGTTTTCTGCAACAGATCCCGTAATTTATTGCTTTCTTTTTCTACAGGTACGTAATATGCAATTTTAAACCTAAATTATATTTCGTAACCGAATTTTTATACCCTTGTCTAATTCATTTATCTCGCATTTCCTTTCATGTAAGCATGTCAATGAACTACTAAAGCAATGCCGTTCAGGTAGATTTGTATTTGTAGAGAGATTTTCCGCATAATCAATTGGACACACTAAAAAAAGGCAATCCTTTCCAGGTATTGTGAGTAAAATATTATTTATTACTCTAGAAAAAAATTCTACTTTTCGTGTTTTTGTCCATTTCCAGCTTTGAACTTTGACCTTCTCAAAAGTTATAGCTACAAACATACAAGTCCGTGTGTTAATCTTGAAGTTCATTTCTAAGTTATTAGTGTTTCCGCGAGTTGGCTGCGTGGAAAGATGTTGGTCGTTTTGCGTATTTTTCAAACTAGTGACACGTATATTATAAATAAACGAGTGTTTCTCAGAAATATAAAAATCAATGCCACTGAAAATATTGTTTAAAAACTTATCTTACGAACTTTAAGAACATATTTAACAAGAGACATTCAAAAATATAAAACTTTTGGGACATGACCCTTTTCCTCTGTTTATTCTGTTATTCTTGGGAAGTCCTTAAAGTGGAAGGTAAACAAATTCTTAAAATGAGTGCACTTGGAATTATGAGTTTGCCCGAGTTTAATACAATTCAATGTGATATAAGAGGGTTAAACAAATCGTATATTTTTATTTGACCACGTAAATCACTTTAAACTATTCGGAACACTTCATGCCCAGAAAATAGTAAGAAAAATTGTTTTTGTATACAATAATAAAATTCAGTTATTTATTGTTATAGTTATGCTTATGTTTGCCTTTGGAATAAGTTAACGTGGTCTGCCATTGTTCTAATGGCGTTGGACTGGTGTTGTTTAAGCTTATAATGACAAAATATTTAATAAAATTAAAAGAATGTCAAATTTAAGAAAACGTTTTTTGCTTAAAAAATAGTGGATAATACATAAAGCAAGTTTTAAAATTCTCTGATTGTATTTCTTTTGTATAAGATACTTGAATGAGCATTGAATCTCATTTTAGCTGGATTAGATATATGTTGAATATAGGTAGGTGAAACAGATGTACATTGAATTTGAAAGGATAAAAATAATAAAAACACTAATTGTTTGACTAAAATAATTCAGAAGTGAAAGAGGGACAAAAATTTCTAGTTTTTAAAAAAGATTTTTTTCAGATTTATATTTGCTGAAAAATTTCACTAAAACATGTAAATTCTGGAATTAAAAATCTAATTTCTATCCAAAAAATATTAGAGACCTACCTTGCTCTCAGGACATACCAGGATTGATTAAAATATCTGAATGCAGGAAAATTTTATCAGACTGGATTAAAATGTCCGAATGCAGGAAAAACATACCTGACTGGATTAAAATGTCCGAATACAGGAAAAACATATCAGACTTCATTAAAATACCAGAATGCAAGGAAAACAAACTTGGTTAGATTAACGGAATGCAATTTTCATTTATTAAAAAAAAAGAACTTCCATAGTTAGTTATTTCTAAAAATAAACTGTACTTATAAACTAATAGTTTTAAATAAAACTATCAATTATTTATTGTCTGAAAACCTTATTAAAACGAATTCTTAAAAATCAAGCTTTCGAATTTTATATAATTTGAATAATGGAATAATTAGACTAAATTTACACATTCTGTTAATTGTTAATTAAATTTTGTTTTTTCCTACATAAATGTGTGTAATTTTTCCACATTTGGAAGGCGCGTATTACCCAATATATGTAATCCCTGAATTCGTATCATGCATTTACTTATGACGTATTTGGGGTATGAGTATATATATTTCAAATTTCTAAGTATCTGATAGCAATAGTTTTATCGATAAAAATAAGCAAAACTAATGCATTAATTGCACTGTTAATAAAATTGATATAAATATAAATGGGTTTTAAACATCCTTGTTATTGGTGAAACAGTTTAAAAAGTATCATTTCTACAATCAAGAAAAATGCGTGATTAAGATTAATATAACATTGAAACTGAAAAATATATCAGAAAGAAATATTGTGCTTTAAATATAACATCGAATGAAGTACTTGTCAAAGTACAATAAATATTTTGCACTTTTTGCATTCCTTTTAAAGAATTAGGTCAAAGTCAACCTCTTCTTGATACTATGTTTACAGTCTCATTTTAAATCTTACCTAAGAAATTAAAAGTTAATAAACGGGCCATTATTACATAATACGTCAACAGCATGAACAAATATTTTTATGCAAGAACATTTTATAGCATTTTTTTTTATTTCAATTGAAATGATTTAGTTACAGCTATAAAGGTAGAAATACACAGGAACTTCGTTGTTTCGTATTTGTTTCCAAGGTTGCTGTATGCAAATGAAGAACTATAATCGTTCTGTTGTGTTAAATTTAAAGTCCGATACTTTTGTAAATAGCGTAGTGTGAATTATGCTAATCCAGCTCTTATAACTTTATACCACCATTTAAGTTTTAAGCACAATATTATATTTGCAATATTTACACAGGGACGTACATAAATTAAGCGGTAAAACTAGTGGGACATACGTTCGCCAAGAGAGAAGCACTGTCCCTCCAACTGGGGAATAATTTCAGAATTTCCATAAAAAAAATATTATTTTTTTTTAATGCAATTAT